AGGTCCTAATCTTTCTTGACCTCGGCACTAGATGGAGATGAGTGGTCAGCATCATGCCCCGACCGCACTTTACCCCTGGTACCCACTGGAGAGAAAGCTGGGTGGGCCCCAGAACTGGTCTGGATGCAGAGGCTAGAGGAAAAATCCTCTGCCCCCCCATCAGGGATCGAACCCCAGTCATAAGAGGAATTAAGCAACAGCCATAAATCAGATTTTTCCCAGACACTGACCTGAGATCGTACTAATGGTACATTGATGAGGTCATCCAGAGTGTTGCTGCCAGTGAGACTGCTGTTTGACTTGAGGGTTCCTGACCTTGCAGATTCACCCAGAGCAGCATTATGGTGTGGGAGAAAGCAATGGACAAACTTCAGCCTGGTTCGGCGTAGTGTTTCCACTAGGCCATCCTGTAACAACCACAGAATCACAGAATCTCCTCCACTTTCCAGTGAAACAAAGCAGATGCTGGAATAAGAAAAATCAGTACATTCAAATATAGCTGTATTCATGCGCTATCATGACAATTATTGTCGAAAGGGGTATCTGAAAGCAGGTAAGGAAATGTTAACACCTACCACAGTGAACTTGACCTGAAGGCAGACAGACTTGCGCTTGATGCCAGCAGTGCCAGTGGTGAATGTGCGGCGAATGCTAGATGCTCGCCGTAGAGATTGAGTGCCTTCAATTCCTACCACAGAGCCCCCTAAAGCACTGGATATACCTAGTCCTCGTACACTGACAAAGAGCTGATTCACCTCCTCCCTACAAAAATAAAAGTATAAATTACATAAAATATTCTATGTTCTTATATAGCAAAACCTCTTTCTATAGTATTACATAACAAACAAGGATAAAATATGAAACCAAAACATTACATAGAATTTGAAGGGAGAAACACTACAAGACAAACTGACAGAATTAAGAATACAGAGGAAAGAACATGTATTTGACATGGATGACGCTAGAATTTAAGAGGTTAAAAAATAAAAATGACAAATAAATTACCTTTGCCACAACCATGAACTAGGTCCAGAGAGCTAGTAAAAAACAACATACAAAAGCAGATCTTACTGAAGGATAAAAGGAATGGAGCTGACTTTGCCAACAGCTAACCTGTGCATATGGAAACATCAGTGCATTATGATTTTTTTTTGGCATGCATGTGGGTGTGTGTGTCAGGTGTATGCATTATAAACATTCAAAACATATACCTCTTCCATCAAAATACTCCTAACTTGTGCTCACATCTAAACATATATAAAGATCTTTTAGAAAATATAAAATTATTGAATCTCTATGACCCAGATTTGGTAATATGGCTTGATAAAGGCAATATTCAGTTTCTGCGAACAAATTTTGTACTGGTCCCCAGCAACAACCCAAAAGACTATAAGTTATAATTATTCAGTCATACCACAACATTTATCAAAACATTTAGAACTATACCGTGATGTTATATTTCATGCTGAGGCCTAACAGATTGGACACATCAATGTGGCACTTATAAATATTTTAACTGTTTTAACCAATTAAAGTCCAACTGGAACTATGTGTGTCATGTATTTTAACATTCTATAACTCTGCGCTCTGCCCAAAAAGTGTTTTTATGGGTTTTGAGTAATTCTCAGAGAAAAGAGTAATTATTTCCTTAAACAACATCAATGAACTTATTTTTCTAATGAAATATCCCTCAGAAAGTAGCCACTTAAACCTGACAATGAGCTAGGAGAATACCACCAATATGGATCTAAAACAAATAACAACATGAACTACACTGAAATGATTCAGAATCATGCCAAATCACAAACTTTACTGTCCGCAGTGCCTAACTTCAAGTTCTAAGTACCATATACTTAAACTATGAATTTTCATATGAACCAACCTAGAAGACTCCTGCAGCAAACTCACTGCACTACGAACAATGGGGTTCTCTTTGGAAGCTTTCAACCAGCCAGAAGCAGTGTAAAGAACTGGGTTTGTGCCTTGAAGATGTTGTAGGATAAACTGGTTTGTACCTGGGGCCTTTCTCAGCAACAGTTGGTGATCTGTTCAACAATCAGTTGTTCACACATACACAACCTGTTACAACACCACTCTCTCCTCTTTCCAAGAGGTTTCCCCACCAAAATTCTGTATTAATTCCTTGTATAAACTTTCATATAAATTAAATAACTTTAAACTGAAACAACAAACTTCTGCACTACCTAAGCAAGCCACAACATTGCATCTGCATAGAAGGAAACACCACTATCAAATTTAAGTTAAATTAGTTTCATTTTCATTTTTAAGATGTAGATTTGGTTTTTTAAGTTTTCTGAAATTCTCAACTAATCATTAAGTGAGCTTACTTTAAAACCTTTTAATGAACCAACATTCCAAATTCTCTGTTCATAATGATTTTAGTAACAAACACTTTGTAACTCAGCAGGCATACCCCTATCTCCATAATGGGTGAACAGTCTTTCCAGGAACCCCTCATCACTGGCAGAAGGATACACTGCTTCCTCATCCAAAAGCCAGAGCAGACCTCGGCGATCTGCCTCTCGTAGGTCTGTCTGTGAAGTGCGCACCATCGAGTTCTGTGAGGTTCGGTCTAGCAGGGACACAAGGGGACCAGGAGTGCACACATCACCACATCCTCCTTCATCCAGATTCAGCTCTATATGTTCCTACAACATTTCACGTACCCTGTCAGAAACACTTGAATTTCATGCACTGCAAACATCCATATAAGAGACAACAGGCGACAGACTTACTTTTGTGTCTAGAAAGGGGAAAGTAGGAAAAGGGTGCTTACAAAAGTACAGATGGAAAATTCTATAAGAGTTGGGAGAACAGTAACAAATTTGTTCAACATAACAGAAAACTGTTTCACATTTCCTTGGTTAACTATAAATGTGTCCTGGTGCTTAATTAAGTGCCACACAATGCAGATATATTGAAGAGTTGAGCAAAAGCAACCAAGAAAGAGAATTTCAGAAGTTGGAAATTACATGGATGAGGTGGTGGAAACTGGGATATCTATGGAGGGGGTTTAATGTCTTGGAAAGGACATGAAAATTTTCTAAGCACTAGATGAAGATGAGTAGTCAGCTTCAAGCTCTGGCTGCTTTACACCTTCAACAGGAGTCTGGGGCCTAGAGCTACAGTCACTCACTTTACGGACACATCTCCTGGCACATCAGCCATAATATATCAGTTAGTATTGTTACAGGCTGCTGACTGAACTTTAGCAATGAGAATGAGAATTCTTGTCTTCAGTACCATGTTCATAAAATGTCTAGCACAACAAAACAAAAAAATACATTCTACAAAACAATGATCTCATCTTCCACACAGACCTGTGCATATCTGTCCCTTGGAGCAACAAGAGTTGTGTGATGGAAAAGCAGTTGCAGGCGTTCTTGTAGGTAGTTGTGGCATAGATCTTCAAAAGTTGCACCGCCCTGCTGGCCACAGGATGCAGGGTTCTGGAAACCTGGGGAGTCCACTACCACAAGTGATGACACAGTATGGATCGGTGTGGAGATAGACCTTGAACAGAACCAGGAAACCACAGATTTATCACACTCTTCAATTATTCCACACATTAAATTATACATCTATTTACACATTCTTGATTATTAGGTCTGGAAAGGATACTGATATAAAACATAGAGCTACATACAAACACTGAACTAACTGAACCTATACATTGTCACTGAACATCATATAGATTGGATATCATTCCTGTTTTGTACTGAAATGGTCCTGGGTTAAATTCCTGGTCTGTACTTCAGCTGCCCTGACTGAAGTTCACTTGCTACTCTGTCCTGCCAGGCAAATGTTTGGGACAATAGGACAAGGTAACAATCACAATCATGTTTCTGATTTGACAATGCATGTAGAGCTGCTGAAGTTGAGAAATCCATCATTACTAAGATAATGAACAACACATTTCATATACATACATAGATGATGTAAGCATGTTATAAAAATTATGACATGGCATTTTACACCCCTTTCAACATCTGAGTTCTGGAGGAATCTCACCTATTAACCAGTGCTGCCACAGCATTTAAAACTTCTCCATAAAGACCAACAACCATTCCTTCCAGAGCCTCCAGTCCTGTGACATCCCTGTCAAGTCCTCTTTCAGTAGGTGAAGGAGTGCGGAAGGGAGCACGAGGGGTAGAGGGTGTGCCCATTCCACCTGAACTTTGCCCGAACAATATACGAGCCAGTTCTTCAACTGTGGTTCCTAAGAGATGAGCTGCTTGCTGTGCTGCTTGAGGACTGGAGAACTGCCATCGACTGCTGCTACTGTTTCCTGCTACAAAGCATATAAATCATTTTCAATGTATGAAGCAAGAAAAACAATATTCATAATAATAGCAAAAATTAATTTTTACAGAATAAAATCAGCAGGTCATGTAGCATGCATAGAGGAAATGAGAAATGAATACAAAATTTGTGCTCAAAAACCTAAAAGGAAGAAATTATTTGGAAGACCTAGGCATGAATGGGTGTGTGTATATAATTAAAGAAGTGATAAATTTTTGGGTTGAAACTATCAACTCTCTAAAAAAGACTGCAACATAGAGTAGGTACTGTATTGTACAATACCTTTAACAGCACCAGCAGACCCCAAGTGATAGATTGCAGCCAGAACAGACCAGATCACTTTCATTTCTACATCAGAAAAACCCAGAGTTTGCATGCCAGCACACACCCGAGCAAACTCTAGCATGGCCTTTTGTTTGTCCTCATGCTGAAATAAATAAAGAAAGCAAATAAAATTCAATATGGGGTTAGTGATGATTTAAAACATGTAGATAAATTCTTTAACAAATGTAACTAGCACTAAAATTCTGTCACAGTTAATTTATTATAAAAAAGGAAGAAAGAAAGAAATTCCTACTCAACCATCATGTCCATATGTCCACCCATCTCTGTGTCTGTCCCCCACTAACAATTTTTGAACCAAATAATAAGTTGTACTGAAGCTTGGTATGAACACAGCTACAAGCATTCTAATTACAATAAAATCATGTGAACTTCAAAGGTGGGAGCAACACTAGTAAAATTTAATATATGAGTATGAAATGATGTGAAATCTCCAGAAAGTATGCATATGTTGATAATTCGGTTCTTTTTTCAGAATGTAAATCAACTGTGAAATTTACATGTAGCTTTCAATAAGAATTATCTGTATATGGGGATCATAAACATGGAAACAGTACAAAACTTTGAGGTTATATCTGACATGTATAACACAGTGGGAATGTATATTACTGTAAATTATCCATCGATCTTGAAATGATACAATTACTGTACAGTTCTCCCCTGGCTTACCTCAATTAACTATGAATGTCTACTTTTCTTCACTTGTTCAAGCCTATATGGTAAAGCCAGGACAGGATAAAGTATAAAGCAATTCTTGTATAAGTTCAGTGATTAATTTTGTGTTGCCATTTACATCCTCCAAAAACAGAACACTTCTACATCTCATACAGTTAGAGTTTATTACGTTTAAAATTAATATTTTCTTTTTCCTTTTGTCTACAGCAATACTCAATACTCAAGGCTACCAAAATACAAACCAAATGACATAATCAATTTCAGCTGTATCTAGTATGCAGTGAAAGGGTTATTTACTACCCTCTGCAATGGAGTCATGAACAGATTTGGTTCTCCAGTAAGACTATCCAGATGAAGTTCCCTGCGAAGTGTCCCCTCAGCACCAGCTAGCAGTCGGTAGAAAATGTGAAATGTTGGTTCGCCCTCTGGTCTTCGAGCAACTCGAGATCTCTCTGCCAACAAAACCTGTCAAACAAAAATTAATTATCAGGAGCAAGTGGTTTTCCATAATTAAAACATATAATTTTTACAGTACAGAAACACAAAGTATTATATTGCTAAAGGCAGCAATAAATGACTAATTAAAAGGCTATTTAATGACACTATACCAATAAAAATAATTGTGAATTATGAGGGAACCTACAGCTTAAAATAGAATTCCAATAATGATTGGACCTGGTATTCTGTACATACACAAAGTTCTGGCTTCGTCATAGGTTACAGGTCCTAAATAAGAAAGTTTAAAATATCAAAAAACACATTTTAACAGTCTAGATAAGGAACGCCTATCTCGTAATTCAAAATAAGTAACCTATGCACATCTCTACATCATAACAAAATTAAATCTGTGTAAAACACAAACCTGAACAGAAGCAGAAGCTATTTGTCCTGACTGGTCATAGTCAAGGCTGAATATCTGTGTGTAGCGGGTGGCATTGGTGTTGAGCACAGTCCGGGAGTTTCCAAATGCTTCCAGCACCATACTTATGGCATTCAGCTTTTCTACAGTGACAACCTGGAATGCAGGCAATTCCAAATCAGTGCTTTAAAAAAGAAAAGGAACAGTGATATAAAAGGAATTCAAGAAACCATTATATACCAAACATTACTATAAATCGTATATACTGGTACAAAGAAATACAAATAAATGGCATAAAATTACATATTTCATTATATAAATCAGATAAGAAGTTCAAAAAATTGAATTAAATTACTTGAGTAATATCTTTTTACATACCTTTACTTTATTTGGAACTTAACAGATGTCAGAGGTTCACTTGTTTTTAAAATTTTAATGAATTAATATATACTTACACACTAACTACAGGCAATATATTAGAAGACTGTTTTCCTAAGGCCCATTCACACATTAATAAAACAAATTATGAAAGTAGCAAATATATGTATTTTAATTTCAATATTGAAAACATTTCATTCCATTCTATCACTATATATATTTTAATTTCAATACTGAAAACATTTCATTCCATTCTATCACTATTGTCGACAACAACAATAATAATAACGATCTTGTTCACAATGACATACTTTCATAGTTATTTCAATATTTCCATAAATTATTGAGTCAAATGACTACCATCACTTCTTATTATCTCTCCTCAAAATTACTACCAAATTTTCATAAAAAGTAATTTATATTGAAAACAATTAAACATGATATGTAATCAGCTCTATAATTTGGGTTATAACCATTCCTCTGAAAGTCTCACTTGAATATTAATATCACAGAGGTGATCATTCTCCAAACAGACCTATAGAAAGAACCAAAACCAAAGATATACTACAATGTTTTACAAGTAACCAAAACTGTAACAACAATTTTAGCCTAAGCTGAAAATTATAAGAAATTTGACGAAAATTATTCAGAACTCAGTGCGTCAGTCAACATGTTACACATATCAGTTTGTTAGCTGTGATCACTGCCGACTTTAATTTGAGCAACTAAACTGCCAAGTTTCAATTTCACAACTAAAGAACCTAACTACTCAGTGAAATAATCCATGGTACAGATAGCACTATTAGGTCTGATTCTGAGAACTATTCAGTGCATGGAGCCCTCTGTGTAATTAAAATACTAAACATGTACTAAATTGAAAACGTACCTAGGATTTGCAATAAAATTATTTCATCACTAAAACTGAAAGCAAAAAATAACATCCTAAGCGAGTTAGTGAGCCAGTAGGTACCTTGTTGACAGCACCAGCAGCAAGCACCAAATAGTGAAGCACATGTTTGAAGTTGGTTGTCTTGCCACTTCCACTGCGTCCCAGTAGAACAACAGAATGGTCCCTCCTGGATGCCAGCATACCATGGTATGCAGACTGGGCCAGTGAGTAGATGTGTGGTGGCATATCCTCTGACTTACATCCTCGGAACATGTGCACCACCTGGTACAAAATCACTTGCACTTTAATTACATATTTGGAACAAGATGTGCTTAAGTTTGTAACGGACTGGTTTGTGACATATTCTTTAAAACAGTTTAGAATATATGGAAGGAGAATTATATTTGTGTCCCTTTAATTTCAATGCATGTTTAATTCATGCTTGTATTTTTAGACATTTTTCTCAGTAAAATGTATGCACATATCCATCCACTTTACAGTGTCATCCCATCAGCATGCATAAAAGCATATATCAACTCTGCTCAGGATAAAAAAAATTTGAAATATTAATTACATTGGAGTTATTTCTAAAATCCAAACATAATTTAAAGACTTACCATATTCTTATAACCCTTCAAACTGAGTTGCTTTGAGAGTAAACAATCCTTTCATAGACCAACAAATTTTAATTATACTGGATGTTATTTTATACAGATATAAGCGCTTCAGCCCTCATTACACCAACATCACTGTCTATAATACACAATAATTAGTGTAATCAGAAGAAAGTGAAGGGACTGTTTACCACATTCTGTATAATTTTTTCATTTGACATACTGTTTTGATATAATGACTATGGAACAAATAGGTAACTGTTGAAGAGATTTTGCAATAGTGCCCAAAAACTCTAAAGAAGCAAATACTAAAGAGATTAACCTGCAACATGGTATAAATGTGATACTTAGGAGCACATAGCTAACCTTTTCGGAATGAATAGCAAGAGGAGCCATGGGGTTGATAATAACCATGGACCCACCAGCGTAAGTATGGATAAGATTGCTGCCATAACGCTGCCTTAATGTATGCAGCACACTAGATTCATTCACATAGCGCAGATGAGCCAGATCTTCAGCTCGATCAAACTGTGGGGGATTTGCCTGCAACAAGCAAGAAATAAATATATATTATAGGACCAACAAATCTAAAACCCATGGTTGAGGCCAGAGAGCTGCATCTGTTTTCATAGATTGGGGAATCTTCTCCACCCTTCTCCAGCAAGGAAGTGTCAGCATTGCTTGGGTAAGCTGAGTTGCCTGATCTTGATCATATTGGAAGTTGCAAGGTTTTACTATGCACCCTAAAATATTGCTTGGGTAAGCTGAGTTGCCAGATCTTGATCATCTTGGAGCTTGCAAGGTTTTACTATGCACCCTAAAATTACTGTGCTCACTGTTACACAGTACTGGTTCTTTTCCCACTGTGAGCAAGTTTTTCCTCTTACTAATCACTCAATATGTTAATTTTGATAACAGTGTGCCTGGAAAGTGATGGCCAGCAAAAAGAGAAAATGTGGCTTAGCAGAGGATGAAAAGGGTTTTCCCATGAGTCAGGATATAAATGGAATCTTCAAACATCATTCACATATTGTCTGCCGTGCTATAATATTATGACAATGACCAAGTGTACTACTTCAAAATTCTGCAAACTAGCTACCTGGTAAACAGAATGTCTGACACATCTAAAATTATATCCATCATGAAGTGGCAGGACTTCCCACTCCTACATGGACACAATCATAAAACCTTGTGGCTTCAACTCCGTCATACGTTCACCAAGCACCTAAGACCAAATGTGGGTAATCAAAACAGCAAGAACAAACTGTAATAGCACCTTCTTTAACAAACAGAAACTCTGCAATTGCCCAGAGAGAGTATTTTTGGGTTTTGTATGATTCTCTGTATAAAGAGATACTATTTCCCCAAACAGCGCTGACAAATTGATCTCTGCAATGGAGATACATGTTTTCTTTGTGATAAGAACTAAATTTTTAAATGTTATTCAAACAAGTTTCAAATTCAAATACAATTAGTTACCAGACTGCCAATCAAGACACAACATATAATGAACTGAACACCATAAAACTAACTAAGCAAAAGATTGCCTGATATTCCTATAACATGCCCAGCCACCCTGGAATTATAAATGAGGCACAAACAAATGAGCTCTTTGCACTGGCCATTTGTGACTTAACATACAGACAAATTGTAGACCAAACTTGCTATAAAGCTGCTGTCAACAACTGATTTAAATGACACACACATCCTAAGCTTTCTTAGAAACCTATCTGTAAAGACTACTGTGCTGCAGCTTGTATTCAAAATGTAAATTGAACCACGCTGAAGTGTGAAATATGCATACATTCACAACCTACACAAGACACAGATGCCAGAAGCTAAAACCAACCAAACTTTTCCATTAATGTTTTCACATAGTCAGAAAGACTTATTGATATAGAAATTGCATAAGTCAACGAATTATCTAAACTTGAACAAAATTTCTGCTACTACAGATGCGTAACAGACAGTACTTGTTCACTGTCAAACATAACTTCAAAACTTCATATTATTACTATGTTGACACCAGCACATGGAAAAACAGTTCATACAACATATGTACACACATCTAACTGTCATGTGAGTATGATCTGTGATAATACAACTTTCTAACTACACTGAGTTCAATACAGCTGCAGATGACAGATGTAAGGGGAAGAAGATGCTAGCAGCTTTTTTCCATGATGTGTGTACTACATCAGAAACATTAGACTGTTTTATGGTCTCACCATGATTGCTTTGATTCCTGCAATAAAACCAAATTAAGTTGTGTGCTATTAAAACTGCACAAGTGAGAATTATCACCGATGGGCAATGTGATTATAAACTTCCATTGTCTCAAGCCATATAAGTTACTATATTTCATCACATTACTTGTATATTTCTGACAAAGTCTGCTTATTTTTAAACACCCTTTACCATACTGTTTTGGTACCCTACATGAAATAGCAATACAGTTTTCGCCTCACATTTTCATATGGACACCATCTTGTCATTGATCATACTAGGAAATTAAAAAAAAGACTAAAGGGGTATTTATAAATCACTTTTGCAACAAGTTTCTCAAAATATCAGCCAATTGGTTTGAAAAATTATTCTTAGGGAACAGAAACAATATATCAATAATCTACCATTTACAGCCTTCACAGTTACAAAACAACACAGACACATGTGCACATGCACACAGATACTGCACATATGAACACTGATACCTATGCTTCCGATGTTTCTCCGAGGAGAAATTGGCTATACCCAAAATAATCACTATGGTACATAAACTAACAAAAATTAGCTTGGAACAGAGTAAAATAGTTTCACACTGAACTCCTACCTTTTCAACATCGTCATCATCTACTTGCAAGACCTCTCCAGTCACCTCCAGATGTACATGCAGCTTACTAGCATCAGAGTCACCTCCACCACTTCCCGAGAATTCCTCTGGCAGCCTGCGGACTGCAGAAAAGCCAACGCGGTGAACTAGCCACAGTCTCTCTGCTTCCAGCCAGGCCCGCTCAGATGCAAGCTGCTCCTCTGATTTTGCCTGCTGAAAGTACAAAATACGATGCTCTGAAAAACGTGGGTCATTCCTCAAGCACTGTATTTCATCCTAAAGTCATCTTAATTACGCAGATGATAAAATGTAAATAAACAATGAAATTATGGAGATCAATTTCCAGAATTGTGTAATCTTATGAGAATTGATAGTGTACAGATGGAAAAGTGGTAATTTACAAAAAAATACTGATTATACAAGAAAAAATTGGAAAAACATGTAACCTTTGGTAACATAAACATAATTTGTTGCTCTCAAGAAAAAATAATATCTCAAAGAAATCTAATGGGAGCTGATGAATTTACAACAGTTCAGTCTTAGCTACTAAATGGCACAGGATTCTCATTTTCTTAATTTTGAGAAGTTATGATGTTCTCTTATGAAGATGAGAAACTTTCATAAAAGACTTGGGTTTTTTTTACAGATAATGATGGTCAAAGAGCATATTAAAACCGTATTGTGGCAATGTATTTAAACAGTTTAAATATTTACAGTAATACACAAAAATACTTTCACTTCAAGACAAGGTTACAGCCCTCTAACTTGTGATGAAGGGCTGTTTGGGCAGGGCTATCACACACTCTATATGGTGGTAAAGAGTACGGAGCAATAGTAAAATGGTGATTAGCAAGGGAAGAACTGAAGACATCTGAGAGAACCCTATTTCAGTGCCAGTTCGTCACTAAGTCACACAGGATTTAACCCGGGTCTCTGCAGTAAGAGGCCACATATGGCACAGCCATTTGTGATCAATCTTAATTGAATTTTTCTCTAAATTCGAAGAGAATGCTACCTCATATTAATACAGTTACTGCAGACATTTACCAATCATAGTTGATCCGTGCCTCTTCGACAGGAGATACTCAACACGAGAAATCTACTGTTTCGAGAAGGGACTGTACATGTAATAATCGTAACAGAGAGAGAATATTAGAACCGCAACAAAATAAACTACATCCTCTTCCAAGCGCAGCTCAGCTAGCATTCAAGTCACACACGACAATCCTTCCGTGGGCGTAAGCTCGTAAGCCACCCATTGTCCTCAGAATCGCACGCCCTGTGTCCGCAACATGACCGACAGCAGGTGAGGTGCCCAGAACTAGAAATCAGGATCAAGCAAATGTGTTTCCGTCACGACATTTCGGAAACAGTTCAACTCTTCTCCTCAACATAACCATGATGGACTGATTATTTTGTACACTGACTGCTGTTAATTTTTTCAAACACGACGTTTCGAAAATTGGATGTTTCCGTCATCAAGTAGCAGAGGAGGAAGGCTCTTATTAAACAGGACTCTTTGCATAAAGTTAGTTTCTGTATCTGCGATAGTAACTTTCACGCCCCCCGCTGACTGATGACGGAAACATCAAAAATAACAAACTTCTTATGCACATCTCCTATCAGTAATGGAAGATTTTTACAGTAATGCCTGTTCGAACCTCACATAAAAACATTCGCAAAATGTGATGTGGTGACCTCGCTTTAGCGACCTTGTCCGTTCAGATACGCAGAACAAGAATTCAGGCAAGAGCTCCCTTAAACACAGGCATCAACTGGAGGAATGGCTTCCAAACACCAACACACAATTGCAATATTGGAGATTAAGTAGAGAAATGTGATAGCAAAAGATAAAATAGAAACAAACTCAAGTCATATTTTTAGGACTGGCAATTATGTTAATTATGGTAACGATTCGTCAAGAAATAAGAGAGCGCATGCAACCAGGAACGTCTGATACAGAGTTTGTGTCAGCTCGTGGGCTAATGGTTATTATGGGTACGTTATTCAAGATCGTTATGCACTTACAAGATTAGACACGGCCTATGGTCCATTACTCAGCTGCCTACAGACAGCGAGATGGCCAGAGGCGAACCTAACATCAAAACTACTAAGTTATTTAACGACGCTGCTTCAACTAATGGGGCTACATCATGATGAACGATGTGAAAAATGGTCATGATGATATGCAGGTAAAAATTGGGAAGGAGAAGGCTTCATTCGCTGGAGAGACTGGGGAAAACCACAGAAATCTACAAGTGATGTCGGTAAAGGTGCCACATGCTGCATCATAATTCCAGAAAATACACCCTGTCTGAATTTTTTGTCCTTCCATTAATAAAATATATTTTACACTCAAATGGACTCATTATTATTGGTTATGAGGTGTTCTTTGCTTTAGCGTAAGCGAAGAACACCTTATGGGGCCCATCCATGTCTCTCTGTCTGTCTGTCTGTCTGTTCGCCTTTCATCACACTGTTGAAACAATAACAGTGGATTATACTGTCGCTGCACGAACTTGAATCTTATTACTTGGCCTCGGATTGCATTGTTGCGCCAAAGACTTAGGACACCACTGTTGCTTTTGTTAGTCCCTTAGTTGCCCTACTGACGTCATCGCCCTTGGTATTTTAGTAAACTCTAAAGAGTACATCTCTCCTTCGCCTCTTTACGAAGCTCTTTCAACAAAGGTACAAAGCGCCGAATAAGATGGGACGATGATAAATATACAAGGACTTAATGAGTCTGTCCCGTCTCTTTCAAGGAGATGGGAGGATAATATTAAAATGGAACTTAAAAGAACAGGCTGTGCGAAGGAGATGATCAAGCTCTCGCATAATGGCAGACTGAGATTGGTTTAATCCTTACAGCGTCTCAATATGTCGTAGACCCGATTTCCATAACCATTCTTATTAAACTGGTTCAAGACTCTCTATAGAACTCACCATACAGATAAGATGTAAAAAAATGTTCCTGATGGCCAGCTGCATGTAGTAGAGATTATTAGACAATTATCGACCTACTAATTACTCTTTTGTGTATTCTCGTCTACTTAACACGTTTTAAAATACCGAGTGGCTCAAAAGAATACTTTTTTTAAACAATGGCAATGGATTTTAAAAGGATCCACTCAGTTAAACGTCATTTCTTGTGCCAAGCGGTACTCCATTTACACACACAGAAACTTCCCGTGGACACAAAATTAAAACGCTCGCAAAGTTAAAAAATTTTAATAGTCTGCATCCGCGCTAATTTCATTACATGGTTCATCAGCATAAAGAATGAAATCTCTAGACGTTAATTAAGCCGAGAATGGCAACAAGATATCAGACGTCAAGCCTGTTTTAAATCTGTCTGAAAATAAACATACATGTGGTTTCGGAGCAGTCTAAGAAAGCACAGAAACGGCTCCTCTAGCAATGATTAGACTAACACAAACAGTTTTTACACCAGATGCTGGCCTGCCACAGCACGTGAAAGACTAAAGAAAATGGTGGGAGTGTTATTTAACAGTACATATGTTTACTGCATGTGCCCATGGGACAGCATTTGCCCCTTTTGATCCACTTAAAAACAGAAGCTATCAAAAATAAAATTAAATAAAAACTCTCACCACTGGCGCCTGCTACTATCACACGAAGTTTATTAACAAACGTACTGACTCTTCTATCTCCTCACAAAATGCCGCATGAGAAGCTACAAAATCCACGGAACAGAGACCCTACTGACAAGGCAACAGAATGCTCAGCTGGTCAAAAAAATCTTCACGTCTTTTATGGAACCTCAATATTTATAATCGTGTCCATGAAAGCCCACAACCTGCCAGATTAACCCAATGCACAACCCAAAACCAAATTTCTCCGACAACAATTTTAATATTATCGTGTCACCTACGCAGGTGTTCTGACTGGTCTCTTCCGTTCAAGCATGGCAACCACAATTCTGCGTGTATTTCTCATCCCCATGCGTGTAACATACCGCAAATCTCACCCTAAAAATTTTACGGGGCTTCTATCCCGCAAAACCCTTGGGCTGATATTGTCGTGACCTTGCCATAACCTTGACCTATCATGCTAATATTTCCTTATTATGCAGTTTTCTCCAGCCTCTCGACACTTCATTCCTCTTAAGTTCAAAGCTATCCTAAGCAACGTTTTCTCAATCACACTCAACCTGTGTTCTTCATTTAATGTGAAAGACTAGGTTTCACGCCCATACAAAACAATGGGTAACGTTATAGGCTTGCATATTTTAAAAGATTCTAGCGAGAGTAATACATCCAGTGTATCCAACGTTCACTTTTCTGTAATGTGAACTACTGAACTGGTATAATAAACACATTCGTTGCTTCTGCAAGCAAGCAAGTTACATAGAACGTGGCTGTCAAGTAAGAAGAACATTCAAGATTACGTTTATTTCTGTTCAGGAAATGAAGCACATATAACGTTTAATATTTAAGTTTAACACAAGGATGAGAGGTTCGTCGAACTGAGTGAGCAGGCAAGGTTTAAATATACATACACTCTACCGATTACGCATGGCAAGTGATTTATTTACTGCGGTCCTTGGTCGGAGCTACCGCGGGACAGCTAGCCTGGGTACCAGACAACTGGACCACATGATCATAAATGACGGATGCATATTACAAACTTCATAGACCAAACACATCCCAACACGTTTCAATTGTTTCGTTACAAAAATTCTCAGAACGAGCAGCTGCAATTTTTGACGAAAAACGTTCGATAATTTCAAAAGTTCGACGTGTTTCTCTCTTGAATTTGCTCAATGTAAAAAGAATAACTTAGGATAACTCATACAACTCGATAGTTCGTCTACCTTACTGTTATGGAATTTGAAATGATACAAACGTTTTCCAACATTAGTTTTTACGTCTCTTCCAATGACAAGGATTTAATATAACAATGGGACCTTGATCGCTTCAGTTTCTGTCCAGTATCTAGATCTATTGTGTGTGCACAAAAGAAATCGAACAGAAGTAGTCTGGCTCGCCAGACCAGGAAAGCTACGTCTGCTGAATTCATAATAACCCGTGGCGACATTTCGGGACAGTTACCATGGTGGTCGAGTCGATAGAATGCAATGAAGTCTTCTCAGGCGATTATCCGTGACGATGGAGACTGAAACAATCATCGAAACACCTGGCAGGACTTCGCTACAGCCCGCTAGAAGATCTTATTTCAAACCATAACTG